TAGAATTGCTCTACGTTTCATTCTCTCCCTGCCCCCAACACACACACACACACACACACACACACACACACACACACACACAACTATTTGAGCTTGCTTTGACTTTTCCCTATATCCACCTCTATCCCACAGCCTGGGCATTCCTCATCTCCTTAAAATTGAACTGTGACAGGAGCTACCCATTCTTGGTGGTCAAATGATACCACGCAATACAGGAAACAGCCCTCTGCTGCTGTATCCCATGGACTGCTCTCCAGGGCTGGGCACGAGCAGCAACCTTACTGTTTCCCCCCAGGAAAGGCCACTTTTAATACCCCCCACTTCCTGGAGGATTTGGAGCAGAACTCCGTTCTACTTCCAATTTCTCTTTGAGTTAGAAGTCTTTGGTTGCAATCAAGAGAATCCAACTCCGAAAATCTTAAGCAAAAAATGGCTGCATTGGATGGACACCAGATTGGATCAAAGTCAAATTAAACAAACAAGCTTTGAGAAAGATAGGAATGAGGGCAATATGGAGATTGAGGTACTTAGAGCCCATGAATCATCCTGTTAGGGGTCCTGCAATTAAAATGCCCAAGTGACAACACTCTAGCTAAAAACTCCCAAAGAACTGAGTCTAACTGTATGAGTTTGGTCACATGCCCACCCCATGACTGGAGGATGATGGAGGAAGACCATCCTGCAGATGGTCTCCCCAGAACACAGATGGTGGAGGTGTAGTTTCCTGAAGAAAAAGTGGGGTGCTTTAGTTAAAATGAAGGAACGGGATCCTGGGTGGGCAAAACCAACAAATATCTATTCTAATGCCACTCAGCGGGAATGGTAGCTAGGTGGCTTGGCTTCAGCAACAACAGACACCAGGAATGAGAGAGACAGACTCTGGATCGCATGGCAGACATCTAGCTCCGTATCTTGTGGTGCCTCTGCCAAAGACCTTCCCAATTCCAAGTTGAAAAATGCATCAGAGGAGCGGACTGGCCTGTCCTGGATGGGGTTGCTGGATCACTCCACTGTGGCAGACGGTTGGGTCTGTGAGAACATGGTAGCCACCATGTGAACTCCCAGCTGGTGTGGCAATCGAGTAATTTCTAGAAGAGTTAGGGAGTACTGGGCAGATCCCATAGTCATCCCCTTGCAGTCTCGCTCTCTTGGGTCTGTTTCGTTTTCTATAAAATGGACAGATGATGTCCAGAGGTGCTCAGGAGTAACTGGGGCCCTGGATCTGGAGGCTGCACAGGACAGCTCATGTCGTTGGCAGCTCTGGGATGTGATGTCTGTGGTAGCTTCTCTTTGCTTGCAATGACCTTGGGGTGTGGATTTCCCTGGTAAGTGAGACATAATGCTCCTCAGGGAGGATCCAATTTAAGATCTTCCTCTCCCCCGCCTCACATTATAGATCAGAAAATGGAGATCCAGGGAGGTCCAAGGTCACACCTGAGTCTCTCTGTGAAGAGAAGAGCTTTTTCGCTTAAGTAAGGGCCGAGTGTTCACATTGGAGAAGGGGGTCAGAGGGGATCTGATGGCCTCCTGAAGTACTTCTTGGGTCTCCCAAGAGTGAAGGTAACCTATTAACTAACAATAATAACCACCCTCACAAACCCGTGGCGCTCCACAGTTTACAGCGTGATTTCACACCCATTATCTCATATACTTCTCACAAAGCAACAATGAAATAGAATGATCATTTTTGGACAACTGAGGAAACCATGACCCAAAGTGGGATGTTCAGAAGGTAGCGCATCAGGGATTCAAGCTCAAGCCTCCTAATACGAGGCTGTACTCACCAGGCACCTGATCCCGCTGGTCCCGCTCTGGTTGGCAAACTGAACTCCCCAAGTGCCACCGAAGGCAGTGGCTTTGAAATGTGGGTCCTGTTATGAATTTCTCCTCCCGCTCTGGACATGGCCCTCAGGTGCTGGCTGGGATGATCCTTGATGACTACCAGATCTCACATTCCAGGACAGCTGGGCCCTGAGACTGAGTGTGGAAAGAATTCTCCAGGAAATTTAGTAAGTCGAGAAGCTAACCTTATAAGGTAGGAGCTTTTTTTTTTTTTTTAGGTAGGACCTTTTGAGATGAAAAGGACAATGTCTTCCAGAATCTTGTCTGCTGGAAAACAAGAGGATGAGGGGAGATGTAGATTGGTGATTAACCTGTTCAAACAGAGTGGGTTCAGAACCTTCAGGAAATTCATGAGTTCAAGGGCAGGAACTGCTCACACCTTGGTTAGGGAGTCAGGCCTGGATTCCAACATTGGCCCTGCCACTTACCAGGTGCTGGACTCTGGATTGGACCTTTGATCTCCATGGAGCATGTCTTGGCATTGACCTCCATCCTCCTCCACTCAGACTGGTATCCAAAGCCCTCCCCCACCCGCATCTTGTCCTACATTCTTGGATGGGTAAGGAATCCTTCAGTTACAAGTGACAGAAACACAACACAATGGCTCAAGTTCAGGTGGATCCAGAGGTTCGACTGAGGTCATCAGGTCTCTTCCCTTATTGCCTTCTTGGCCCTGCATTCCTGTGTTGCCTTCATTCTCGGGCAGGGGATTACTCCAATTATTTGAATAGGATGGGAGAACACGAGCGATACCATGTGGGATACGGGAAAGCCTATGGGCCCTGAGGCCTGATGGACTTGCACTTGAATCTCTGCTACCTACAAGTTGTGTGATCTTGGTTGGGTTTCTTTGCCTCTCTGAGCCCATTTCTTCACTTGTCTTGATATAATAACACCTGCACCTCAGAGTGTTGATGCCAAGTTCAAGTGAGGTAACGTGTGAAAATGCCTCGCATAATAAATCCTAGGAGGAAAATTAGAAATGCATAGGAAGGAAAGAGAAATCCAGCAGTGCTCTGGTTTTCTTTGGGAATGGTAAAGCAACTGTGAGCAGAGGAAAGGAAGTGGCCTATATGCGTACAGATCACAAACCAGATTCACTCTTGAACTTGGGGCCACAGTTGGGGTCTCAGCATGAATAGCAGGCTCAAAAGTCTGGGTTTGAGTCCAGATTCAACATGACCAAAACTTGAGTCTTCGCCACACTGTAAGGCTGCATGCTGGCTGAGAGTGAACACACCTGACATGGCACGGTGGGGTGGCTTCCCTCTGCTTCTGTCTCATCATGAATGACACCCAGACCTCCTCCCATAGACCACAAGGCTCCGCACGCTCATCCTCACTCACCTCTCTGATCTCACTGCCATCTACCCTCTCCTTTGTGTGCTGTGTTCCAGGCATGGAGGCCATCCTTCCAACAGATCCAATCTCTGTGCCTGGCTCAGGGCCTTTGTTCTTGTTGTGCCTTCAGCTTGGAATGTACACCATCCACGTGTTCCACCTGGCTGGCTCCTTCATGTCATTCAGGTCTCACTTCAAAGCCATCTCTTCAGAGACCTGCCTGGATCACCCCATAAAGCTGTCTCTCCCTGCGCATGTGTGCATGCATGTGTGTGCACACATATACTCACACACATGCACATGTGCACATATTGCTCACAGTCTCACTACTGTTTTCTTTGTGGCACTTCATCCTTCTCTGAAATGATTGTTTATTCATTACATGTGACACATGCTTGCTGTGAATGTGACAGCTATAAATCTAAACTGATCTGTGTGTTGTCTTGCACCAGCGACTCAAATATTGCCTGTGCTACTGCTGTGGATAGTTGGCAACTCTCGGGAAAGCTCCAAGTGAAGCAAACCCACGAATGTCTCTATTCTGCATGGTTCATTCTTGGAAAATTAACCGTAAAACCTTCCTTGTACAGAGTATTTTGTGTTTAGATGTAAATGAGGTTTGGTCTAGCATCAGGTGTTAATAAACAAGTTTCTCACCAACATAAATGTCCAGTGGGATTTGTCTATGGTGCTGAGCAGGTGCAGGACTGTCCCAGAATGCACGGCAGGACATCTAGCATCCCTGCCTCTGCCCATTAAACCTGCGCTCATGGTTACCACAAAACCACTCTGCCACATTTCCAGAACACTACCCAGTGGGCAGTACCGCACACTATTAGAATCACATATCTAAAGAAAGGGTGCAGTACTAGAGACCCCGGAGTCTGTGCAAAAAGATAAGACCATCTAAAAGGCTCTGCCCCGAGTCTTGGTAGATGTGAGTTTACTTCACCTCCCCTTCCCTCCTTTTAGCCTCAGGTTCTCAATCTGAGCAACAGGGAACACCCGTCATCAGTGCTGGTAACAGGGAAGGAAGACACGCAGACTATTTCAGGGAGTGAGGTGAGTCAATCAGGCAACAAGAAACAAACCCCCACACCCAGAAAGGATGACAGAGTGGCATGACAGTTGTGCACACAGACTGTGGGACTATTGTATTAAACCCCAAAGGGCAACTTGGCTCAAGAGCCTTATGCTGTTTGGTGTAATTTTATTCCTTCTCTGTTCTGGGGTAAACTTTAAGAGAACCCAGGGTCAGGTGAGGGAAGTATTTCTGGATAAGGATGGGCCCTACGAGGGCAGCTTTCCTCTGAACGCTGGGCCGCAGGTGGCCCAGCTTCATGCAACAAGAGACAGAGATGAAGGACACTGAGATGGCCACTCTCACACTGGACCCTCTGCAATAGGCTGCTCATGCTGTCACTTCTTGCCCTCTCCAGACCTGAGCCTCCTGCACTCATCTTTAAGTTCAGGATGTATTCCCTCCTCCAGCAAAGCTTTGTGGGACATGCCAGCAGGGTTGATGGTCACTCCTCCTCCTGTGTCCATGGCCCATGGACTTCCTTCTCCCAAAGGTGCTTGACCGGCTCCCCACCTGGTCTGCAAGAACCATGTCTGGTTCATCTTTATGTCCCTGACAATCAGCTCAGTACCTGGCACACAGGAGGCATCAGCAAAAGTTTTCTCCCTATCCTATCCCTTTCTCCCCCAGCTTTGGATTCCAGAATTAACACACCACAAAGTCAGTATCACAGAGCTTCACAACATGATTATCCAGGCTATAGAGGGAGGATCTCATTTTTAAAAAGAAGAAAGTCTTGGGTTCCAAAGAACAGTTTATTTAAAACAAAGGTGACCACATGTAGGAAGGAGGGAGAACAATTCTAACATAAAAACACACAGGAAGCACCTCAAATTAAAAAAATGGGGGGTGCAGGGAGGAAGCCATATCTCCTACATATACAAACTGCTGACCTCGATTGATTATTTACATCCAAACTTTATAAAATAGCATTTCAAGTCAGCACTTAAGCCAGTGTTATTAGTTTTTATTACAAAAAGTTAAAGCTACAAACTTCACATTTTTAAGTTGTACATCAGCAACAGCATTTAAGCTTTTTCCAAGTTGGTTCGAGTGCAAGCTGGTGGAAGAGATTTTTTTTTTTCTCTAGACACAAAAAAGAACAGAGTCCAAATACAATGAATACAATCCTGATGGAAACACATAGTGTGTAAGAAAGGATGGGATGGGAGGCTGAGGAGCTCCAATTCTTAGAGGCAACGTGGTATGCTGGAAAGGGCACTGGAATAAGAATCAGAAGACCTGCATTTGAATCCGAGCTCCACCATATTTTAGTTGCATGGCCTTGAGCAACAGACTTTATCCCTCTGAGCCTCAGTTTCCTTATCTGTAAAATGAGGACAATAATACCTATATCTCCCAGAACTATTAAGTTTTAATAGATACAGTGCTATTCAGATTATCTACTGAATGAGCTTTGGTGTTTTGTATCTTAAAGGGAATTTGTTCATTTTATTTAAATTGTTGAATTTATTAGCATAGTTGTTCAAGACCTTTTCCATAGTCCTTTAATATCTGTAGGAGCTATAATGATGTCACCTCTCTCATTCCTGAAATTGGTAAGAGCTACTGAAATTTGAATGGTATAATAAACCTCTGGAATTTGGCAGGTGCTCAATGTTTCCTGGATCAGAATACACAGTAGTCTCAAAGGGTCAAGGCTACAGCTCTTAAGTTGCTTCTGACTATTGGTCCTAGGTAGCTAGCCAGCCAGCCAGCCAAACATTCATTCATCCATCTATCCATCCAGTTGGTGGTTGGGAGAAGGGACAAAGGAAAAAGAAAGGGAAATCTGCTTCAAAATTACTGATGAGGAAGCAATCAAGATATTCTTAGAGAATTTGAGATTTTTTTTTTTTAAAGATACAATTAGGTGTGGGTCATTATTTCTTAAAAAGAGAGAACAGATGAGGGGAGGGGAACAGCATTCCCTGGGAGCTTCAGTCACAGATGCCAACACTCAGGGCTCAAAGAAAGCACACTGACCTATGCTGGAGTTAGCATTCAAGGGGAAAACAACTAGGACTTGCCCTGTTGCCTTTCTGTCACCAGGAAATGGTGCACCTTGTCAGGAAATGGACCTGGTCCAAAGAAATTGACTTTTGGCCTGAGGGCTTTGTCTAGCTAGACTGGTGAGCAGTGTCCTTTGCTAGAACAAAATAAACTCCGGATCAAGATTCAGGACCCAAGAATATTTATGGGGAAAAACCAAAACCTTCTTTAACTTGGATCTAGCTTAGGAAGGAAGAAATGGGCAATTCCCCTGCTGTCTGGCCAAGTGCAAAGTCCTTTCTAAAATGAAAGAGGTTGAGGCAGGCCTGTTCGCGAGCACAGTATATGGTGTGGTGGAAAGCACGCTCCATGCTGAGGTTGGTGACACTCACTTGGCTGTCACACTTGATTACTAACTCGGCCGTTTCCCAACCTAAAAATGCCAGCTGGAGTTATTTATTCTGTGCAAGAAAAGGTGGTCCCTTCATTTTAAAGACTTGTGATCTTCCTTTTAAGTCAGTAAATACTTGGTCCCATGTGGTGATGCTATGAGTCCTGACTCTGTCACTTACTAGCTGTATTGCCTTGGGAAATACATGGTCTTTCTCTCTCTGAACTGATTTCTTCATCTATGAAATGGAGATAAAGTACTTAACTTAGGAGTTCTTGTGAAGTTTGGATCTGACATATATAAAAAGCCCACCTAGCTCAGTGCCTGGCATATACTCAGTGGTCGACACATGCTAGCTGCCATTGGTTATTCCAGTGGGATCTTCCAACTGTCTTCTGTTCTATCTGCCACATAACTGCCTAACTGGCCAAACCCTGCAGACCAACCACTGCCTCTTACACTTTTTAAAACTTGCTTTTATTGCAAAGAACAGAATCTGGCCAGAGAAGAGGGACGTTCCCTGCCACTCCATTGATTCCCAGTTTTGGGAAGCAAAAGCAATTATGGAGTTAAATTACACTATCCTTATGGAGTCAAATTACATTATCCTTACAGATCCTTATTATTAAAAAATAAGCAGACATCTGCCTTTCCTGTCTTCTATTTGCTGTGGACTACATGACATGTGGCCATGAGCCAGTGCCACAGACGGATGGTTCAACCCTCTGATCTGCCTGTGGCCCTAGGTTGCCCGCGTGGTGTGGTCTGCTGTCCGGCCAAGGCTGCAGAGCTTGTGGACCAGCCAAACCTGAACCTGGCTTCCCTAGGGGGTCTCCACTGAGGAGACCAGACAAGAGCAAGTTTCCCTTGGTAGGGTCCCCTGGGACTACTTAACCCAAATGGCAGAGCTTTCTCTCTTCGGGGAAGGGAATGCTTGGATCAGCGGCCCAGGAGTGAGGAGTTCTGGTCCAGTCCCAGCTCTTGCTTCAATTTGCTTTGTGATTTTGACACTCTGTCACTTCCCCTCTCTGAGGCTTGGTCAGGTCTGATGATGCCTGTGGTCCCTTCCAGCTCTGGCATTCTGCGGGGCTGGATGGAGCCTCCTGGAGAACAGATCTTAGTCTGATATTTGTGTCCTTTCCAGACCCCTCAGCAGTAAAATAAAAAAAGAAAATAGTCACATACTGGAAAATGATCACAAAAGCAATGCCCTCTACCCCTGTCTGTAAGGAATGTGGAGCAAAATGTCCCTGTGCGATCTTCGCATGAACAATGAGAACTCTGAAAACACTTCTTCTGCGGACTGCACACAGCCCCGTGTTTGTGGAGAGGTCCTGGCAGGCCCATCCCCACACTGGGTCATGTCTCCTCTTAAGGCACTGGGCAGTATCTGTGCTGTGACTGCAGGCGGTTGGGAGAGTGCAGATGGGTGAAAGGCATTGAAGCCACAAGGGGCAGTTTGCAAAGAGGATACCAGACTTCTCCTGGGACTTGAGAAGTATACACAAACTCTCAAGGCTTTTCCTTGGACATGGTCCATAGCTCCAGAAGCCAGAGATGACCCACACAAGGCTGAATCCATGGGGAAGAACTGGCCCAAACCAAATTTTTAAATGCAGCCCTGCAAAAGAGTGAGGTTGGTTCTTGGTCGCTGAGTGACCCCAAGAGCCTCCCGGAGCCCCTGCCCTCGTGTCCCACAGTACCATAATCTTACAGAAAAGAGGCCAACTGTTTAAAACTGTACCTGTACAGAGATGCCACCACACTCAGTGGGGAATCCAGTTATAATTTATATATATGTGCATATTTATATATTTTTAAAAAGTCTTCCAGAAAGAACCTTTGAAAGCTATTGGGAGAAGAAAGACAAGACATGTAACACTTTCCCAGCTATCACTCATCCTAGAGTCTCTGGTTCCTGGGGTTTAAAACTCTGAGTTTAAAAGCGCCGATATGAATCCTTTGAAAAACATAACTGACCAATTTAAATCCATACACGAGGCGGCACGCTGATGGCAGGCAGCCCTTCCCACTGGCGCACGTCCTGAGTTCGCGAAGGTGAAGGTGCTGTGGGGAAACAATGGGGCAGATGTGTTGGCCAACAAGCCGAGTGGCGAGCAGCCCGAGTTCACCAGAGGCCTGCTGTGCGGGCGGGCCTCCTGGCCGGGCCTCCCTCAAAAGTTCTGCTGCCGCCGCTTCTTAGCCTCGATGGCGTCCAGGATCGGCTGCCTCTTGGACTGGTACTTTTGCCGGATCTCTTCAATCTCTTGCTCCATCATGGGGTCAAGGGCCAGGAGCCTCTTCTGAAGGTCCTCCACTGTCCAACTTTTAAGCTAGAAGAAGGGGAAAGTACGGTCATGACAAAGCCCAGGTCAGCGCAGAGCCGGGAAGCCCAGCCTGTCCGGGCACCCAGAAGGGAAGGCTCTGTGCTCGGACCCAGTCTGGGGTGGCCGTAGCCAGAGAGTGATAATTCATTCACAGCGTGCCCCAAGCTCTCTGGAGACGATTTATCCCTGGACAAGTTCTAGTGCTAATCTCTTCAATTTACTCTGCCATAACCAAGAACTTAACTAGTAATACTTTCATCTCTCTAACTTTTCAATGAATTACATATTGATGCATTGTTAGGGCATTAAAATAACAGCCACTTGGTGTACGCAAAATAATCCTTGCCCTAGTTCTTGTCTCCCCCATAAGATGAGCCTCTGGATGGTGACTGTGTCTCTGTCTAGATACTGTACCAGGGAGAGTGGCTGCTCACTGAGGATCAGATGCTACCCCTCTCCACGCACCCCTACCCCCAGTGTCTTGGGCACTGCCATACTGATCATCATTAACACTTATCGGGAATCATACACCAGGCACCTCTTGAAGTGCTTCATATGGATTACCTACACAAGTGTCTTGAGAATAGAGATGCAAGCCGTGGAAGGGATAGTTAGAAACCTCGGAGATTAAGGGTCCATCATCCACAGGGTACAAGAGGACGTGATATATAAACTAGTAGTGAATGCTAGTGCTAACATAGTGCTTTCTATGTGCCACTTGGTGCTCTACATACGTCTGTTCATTTAATTCTTGTAACAACCCTATGATTTGCATATATTATTATTATCCCCATGTTACAGATAAACGAGCCAAGGAAGAGGGTGGTAAAGTAACTTGCCCAGTGTCTCGTGGTTAGTAAGTGGCAAAATCAATATTCAAATCCAGACAGTGAAGCTCCAAAGTTCATGCTCATACCTGGTACCACAGAAGAGCAGAGTAGCAAAGCCCAGGTTTGAGAACCAACTAAATCTGTAGTTAAAACATGGCTCTGCCTCTTGCAATGCTCTGAGACTCAGGCAAGTCACCTATCTCTCACCCATCCTCACCTTCAGAAATGGGACAGCCATGCCTCATCATGCTTATTATTAGAATTAAATGATATCATGGCTGTAAAGATACTGGCACAGTGCCTGGTGCTTAAGAATGCAGTGTATGTTACAACCCTCTCTCTTTACCGGGGCCCATAAGTGTTATTCATGTTCAACCTGTGTCTGCAGCTGTGGAGCATGTGGTTTCACTGCTGTATGTATGGAGTATCACTGAATCCAAGCAAGCCCAGTTCTGGCTGGCACGGGTGGGAATGAAAGCCCACATTATTCACAATGGGTGGTGATTAATTCTGTGAGCTTATAACCAGTTTAATAGGTGCAGTGTTCCAAGAACTCAAAGGCTTACTCAAGTCTTCAGAGAGATTTATGGAATCACCATGTCCCTCAGCCCCTTCCTGAGGCCCCCACAGGGAAGTGGTATATGAAGGAGGTGAAGGAGCCTCTTTCTGTCCACCCTTCCTTTCCAGGGTGGGGTGTGACCAAGTGTGAGGGGCTACAGTGGCCTCCCCAGGAATGGTTTAGTGACCTGTCGCCACAGGAATTTGCCTTGGCCTGCTTCAGGGAGGTGGTCTGAGAAGCAAGAAAAGCGTAACAGTTCAAGACGAAAGGCTCTTTGTGATGTGAGAATGTAGAGCCGAGAGTGGGGGGATGCTGGAAAGCTGCATTGGTAAAACCACATCTCGTTTCCAGCCTGTGGTTTCAGACCAGCTGGAGGGTGTTCTGGGTCCCGGGACTCTCCAAAGAGCAATGCTTGCCTCATTTTTGGCCTTTTCAGTTTCTTCTCCAAAAAGAAACTGCCCCAAACCTAATACCAAGTGTTACTGGTAGTTGGGGTATTAATCTTTAGGATTCCAGATCGTTCATCCACAGTGGCTGTTCAACCCTAGACAAGTGACTACACCTCTGAGCCTCCTCCTCAGGAGATGAGACCCCAGTTCCACCATTCTTGGGCTCTCATGAGGATCAGATGAGTTAATGGGTGTGACGTCTGTAGCACAGAATGGCATGCCTTTCACGGACAGTAAACATTCCATAAATTACAGTTATCACCACAGTTATTAATAACTGCTACTGCTGCTGTTATTAACACTAGTTATTATTAATATTTTGAAAAGTCTGTAATTAATTTCCCATAAACAAATTGTTCCTGTAACCCCTGATCTAAGCCAGAATCAAACAAGTAAAAGAGAAAATATTCTACTCTATTTTGGGCTAACAATGCCTTAGGATTGGCATTTTCCCACAGCATCCATTAATTTATTTATAGCCAAACAAAAATACTATCCATCCATCCATCCATCCATCCATCCATCCATCCATCCATCCCCCCCCCTGAACAACTACCAGGGGCCAGACACTGTCCAGGGCACACAGGATACTTCAGTGAAAAAACCCCAAACCCCAAATCACTGCCTTTGTGAAGCTTACATTTCAGTGAGGCGAGACAGAGACCTGAGAATGAACACCGTAAACCAGAGGATTGCTCTTCTGTGAGAGGGTGACAGGAGACAGGGAAGAAAAAGCACAGTGGAGGAAGGGGAGGCGGGAATTGGGGGACTTGCTCTTCATCATCCATCAGGATGAAACATCAACTGTGGGATGAAGACATCAAAGTTGGGGGAGTGGCCCTGGCTTCAGACAAACCCCCCTGCCCCCTAGGCCTCTGTTTCCCCACTTGGAAGAGAAGGCTGCCGAGATGACCTCAAGTCTTGTTAGACTCAGTGTTTCTCTCTGGAGGACCCATAGATCATGAGCACCAGCATCACCGGTTAAAAGTTCACAGTCGTGAGCGACTCAATCACCATCATTCAAGCTACTCGAGTGTTTCTTGTCATTCCTCAAGTCTGACGAGACTGCTTCTACATCCTCGTTCTTGTTTTTCTCACAGCAAAACCCTCACAAAGTAATTGCTGCCTGTCTCCGGTCAAGGCTTCTAGGTTTCCAATTTCTCTGCAGTCCTTCTGCCCTTGATCTAATCTGGAGGCACCAGGCACCCTTGCTTGCTCTCCACCACCTTCACACTGATTTCCTTGCCCTCAGGCCTTGGGCTTAAGTTACACCTGACCCATTAGAACACAGCCAGCCAGTCACTGCTAATGCCTCAGTCACACCCCAGATATGGATTTTTCTGAAAACGAGCTCACAGAATGGTTTTGTGGCGCCAAAAGTAGCATCTCACCTTCCTGGTCCTTGGTGGCATAAATAAATTTCGGGTGGGTATCTCACAGTAGAGTAACTGTGGTTCTCCAGTTCTGCTGCAGCCAGCATTCTAGAGGAGCAAACACTCCCCCAGTGGAGCTCGAGCTGCTGGCAGCAGCTGCAGGACAGTCCCCTAGCATTTACACGTCCTCTCTATACTGTGATACCCACGGGGACAACTCTAGACCAGCATTCTCCTCGCAACTCCATGTTCCCACATCCAGGGCAGATCCTACTTTATATTTCAGTCCCAGATCGGCTCAGGGAAATCCGGCACCTTAATCCAACCAAAAGAAAACTCTCGAGTCCCAGCCCACCCTCACTCCTAAACCCAGTCTTCCCCATCTTGGGAGTGATATAGCACCCTCCTGCCAGGTGCACAAAATCATCCCTGACCCTTCCCTCCCCTCAGCGATCCCTGCCCATATCCCGTCCTTCAATCTCATCTCTAACTCAATCCAGGCCACCTGCATTTCATAGCCACAAGCATAAGTAAAAATGCAGAAATTAACTAGATCGCACCCCCCCACCATGTTTCCTGTTGCACTTGGAATCAAAGTGCACACCAGCACTACAGGTATCCAACAGCACACCAGGGCTACAAGGGCCCCCCCATCTCTAGCCCCACTGTCTCCTTGGACGTCATCACCCACCACTCTCCCCTCTGCTCACACTTTCTAGCCACCCTTAACTTCAAATTCTCAGACAAGCCACACTTTTTCTGGTCTCAAGGGCTACACAGTTACTGATCTGCCTGGATGGCTCGTCCCCCTTTCTTCCTTATGTTTTAGGCCTTAGCTCAGAGGGCAACTCCTCAGAGAATTGAGCAAGCCTTCCCTGAGCATCTTCCCTCAAAAGGTTGCCTCCCTGACATGTCGAGTTCTCTATCTCAGCCCCTCATTTATTTCCTTCTTTTACTTGTGTCTCTTACTGGGACGAAAGTTCTATGAGGGAGGTTACTTGGTCTTGTTCACTACACTGCAAATCATACTGGTTGAAGGAATGAATAAATTGCCCTTTGTTTCCAGTCAAATAACAATGGAAGCCACTGATACTTCTAGCTTCCCGAGCGCCACCATATGCAACAGGGCTCCAGGCAAGGTGCTGTGGGGACCCAGGGTGGAACAGGGAGTGAGTTCTGCCCTCAGAGGGCTTCTATTCCTCTCAACATTCTTTTGAAATTGAAGGAAGTCTCTGCTCCCTTGATTCCCACTTCTGTGTTTGATACTGACTGATAAGAAGCAAGTCTCCAACCATGGCTTAGTCATCTCTGACGGGCATGTCCATTTTAATTTTTTATTCCAATAAAAAAGAACTATTGCTCTGGAAAGAATAAGATGATCAAAAGAAGACATGATCCTTCTGGGCAAGACAACATGCCAAGCCCCGAGTCACAGGCTAATCCTTAATGAAGTTGGGTTATGCTGAAGAGAACAGACCAAGCACAGGGATTTTTTTGCTCTCTTCCCGGGAGAGGTCACAGAAGGGAGGAGAAACTAAAATAAGCCTCTTAACCATGGTTATTTAGAATCCTCCAACCACTTGGATGCTAATCAACACATCAGTCTTGAGTACATGGACAGGGATGGGCTCTGAATCTGACAGTACAGATGCTGTGTGGCTGTACGCATTCACTACTATCTAACAACACGCCTTGACTCCACTCGCTGTTACCTTTCGCCCTGTCTGATGTCTGTCCAATGTCTGAGCAAGCAAAGGCAACAATGTATGTGCAGTGCAGGTGAGATTTCTCTGCA